GTCCCCAGAACTGTTGCAGGTGTCCCCAGGACTGTTGCAGGTGTCCCGAGGACTGTTGCATGTGTCCTCATGACTGTTGTAGGTATCTCTAAAACTGTTGCGAGTGTCTCCCTGACTGTTGCAAGTGTCCCTACAACAGTTGCAGGTGTCCTCAGGATTGTTGTAGGTATTTCTAAAACTGTTGCAGGTATTTCCCTGACTGTTGCAGGTGTCCCTACAACAGTTGCAGGTGTCCCCAGGAATGTCACAGGTGTTAAACCTCATGACGCTCATGGTGACTCAGGCGGGCGGCTGTCACTGCAGCTGCTCTTGCCCTAGGCCAGTTTTTAATCACTATCTGCGTGGTTCCCAAGTGGGCAGGTCCACAGCCTATGATCACGTGGTGCAAGGGTGGCCTGATGAGTGTCAGTGTCACTGACTGCGGGGACGTGGGGTGCAGATGAAAGCTCGGAGGTGAGCATAGGGAACAGGCAACAGAGACAGGGCAGAGCCCCAGCCACCTGCATGCACGGTGGCCCTGATCTCCGGTGTCGTCATTTATACAGTGGGGTCAGAGTTACCTATTACCTACCTAGCCTGCTCACATTAAAAATAATATTAAGGTGACTTTTCTCACAGGCCACTCTTAAATATCTGGCATAAGTCCTCTCTAGGGATGATTTCCCACTATTAGCCTGCGAGGCAGAAATAACCAGGGAGCATGGTAAGGCACAGACAGTAAGTAGGGGCGGGGTGATACCTAGCGAATAAGCAAGGAAGTGCTGTATAGACTGTAGGGTATGGTGCGAGCCTAAAGAGCCCCTAAACAGCTGTAAAAGGCATAGCACTGGGCCCCGCCTTGCCTTGGTCCTGAGGATGGTCAGGGAGCCGTTCTGCTGCACGAGGTAGAGGCGGTTAACTGGCAGTGGAAGGCTATCTTTGGTCCAGCGAATGTCTGGAGCTGGGTCTCCACGAACCACACAGTCTAGCTGGATGCTGCCCCCTACAGGTTCTACTAGGTAGGAGAAGGCTTCTCCTTGCAGGACTGGCGCCTCTATAAGAGCCAACACCAAAGCAATAGTCAGGAGGGAGGCCCCCTTGAAGCCCGGCTTTTCTTTAACCCACCAAATGCTGTTCAGCCCCTGCCTCCCTCCTGAGGCCTAAGGAAGCTCTTGCTGGCCCAGCATGGCTGTGCACAGTCAATGTACTACTGGGAGGGCAAACAGCTGGATTCCCCAAAGCTGGCCGTGATCCCCAGGAACTGGGCTGGAAGGGAATGAGAAATCGCTATGATTGATTAATGATGTCTGAGTAGACGCAGGAAAGAATCTCGTCTTATATGCATCGACGGTCCTGGTGCATGTAGATGGATCACCCCAGCTGCAGATCACACTGTATGTTCCTTCTTAAACAGCAGGAAATAGGTCTATGGGGAAAGATTGTGTGGGCTCCCGTACTACCCTTCACGTGGATGAAGCTGACAGCCTGCACACGGCCAACTCTGTTCTCAGCCCAGCACACGTAGGACCCACTGTCCTCTCTGGCCACGGCTGCCCGCTGCAGTATGCTGCCCCCATCCTGCTCAGACACCCCCTCTGTGGTAGAAAAAGAGAAGTTCATGACTTTCAGTACAGGAATTAGGACCTCCATCCCTGGACATTCCGCTGAGGCTTGTGCATCCAGAAGGTGCTCGACAGGGATGCAGACCCGATGGGAGGGTCCCAGGAAGCCGGCTGACTGGGTCAGATCTTTCTGTGGAGGCCACAAGCCACAGAGGATGTGGCCAGAGAATCTGCCTGTTTTATAACTTCCAAGTGACAGCCACGGGTAGGCCTTTGGGGCCTATTAACATAAAGGACCAGGCAAAGAATTGGAGGCCTGTAATCCAGTGTTTGGGAATGAAGACAGTAGGCTCAGGAGCTCAAGGCCAGCCTGGGCTACACAATGTCCTGCAATCTCCCTGATCGGCTAGTCCAGTGGTTCCCACCCTTCCTAATGCTACAACCCTGTAACACTGTTCCTCAGGTTGCGGTGACCCCCAACCATAAAATTATTTTCGTTGCTACTTCATAACTGTAATCTTACTGCTGTTATGAATTGTAGTGCAAATATCTGATATTTACAGATCTGATATTAGATATCTGCTGTGGGACAGACACTGCCATCCTGGGGGAATTTATTTGGGATGCCGCGTGTATTTCTGTGTTGCGTCGTCCTGTCCCTGGTACCCCTGCCTTCCTCTGTGTCACAGGAGACGCAGCTGGGACATCTGCTGCAACTCCCTTGGAAAGGGTGGGGCCCAGCCAGGCCTGGTCGGCAGCTGCACACGGGTGCTCAGCAGGCCTGGTCTTAGACTCGGGATGAGTGATGCTCTTTGCAGTAGAAAATGACATTTTTGGGGGTGGGGTCCCCAGAGATTCACTGGAGAAGCAGGCATTTGTCAGGTACCTACAGTGTACACTGACATTATGTTCCCCTCGGGTCTCAGAGGGAGGACAGTTACCCCCTGTGGGAGTTACGTCTCAGGGCCAGAACACAGGTAGCCCCTCCTGACCGGAGGTCTCTGGAGCTGGGTCTACTACTCAGATGGCTCATTGCCAGCTCTGACGTATGGCTTAGGAGTGTGCTCATAGGCAGGCTTCCCTGTCTCCCTGTATAGCCTGGACATCCAGAGCCTGAAGGACCCGCTGCCACCCTCTCCTACCTCCTAGGTCCCAGCTCTCGTCACCCCTGACTCCAGGAGACCCAAACCTGTCACAGGCTGGTCGTTGACGGTCCAGCCAATGCGGGGTGTTGGGCTGCCCCGGGCTGCACAGCGAAGCCATAGCCTGTCCCCAAGGCGTAGGCTGCGGTCCCCAGGCAAGGTGGTGAGGACAGGCAGTGTCAGGATAGTGAGATGCACACGGCGGCGGGCGCGGCCCACAGCATTCTCTGCAGTGCAGATGTATGTGCCTGCATCCTGGTCCTGTGGGCAGAGGGAGATGGTTCAGGATGGAGACTGCCTCTGTATGTAGCCTGGGCCAGAACACACTTGGAGAACCATTTGGAGCATCCAAACCAGGGAAGTATAACGGTTTTTCCCCAGATCCTAAAGTCAGCAACAGGCCAGCTTCCCTGAGGTTAGGGAAGTATCCATTGTTTTTTAACCACCCAAGCTTTGACCACATAACCAAGTCACGGGCCCCAGTCCTGCTTCCTGAGACTTACTGAGTGCCTAACCTTGTGTTCAAACTGACCCACGCCAGTTCATTCACGTTTGAAACATCTAAGAAGTGGTTCTTGGGGGCCTTTGCAGAGAAAACCCAGTGATGTTCTGAGGGGAGAGGTTCGATAGGGCACGGAGGTTGTGGGGGCAGGGGCCGGGGCCCTGAAAGCCCTCACGGCTGTATATCACCCTGCAGCTACCACGCCATTGAAAACGTGGCTTCTTTTACGGTGCTGATAATCAGTGGTGTGGATCCCCACAGTCCGGGGCTCTGCACCACCCCCTGAGCTTGGAGGACACTCATCACCAAGGCTGGCAGAGAGCAACTGATGCTCTTTGGAGACCCAAGGTGTTGCTATGCCTCTCTGGGAGGTGGTGGAGGAGGTCCAGTTTCAAACCTGGCTTCTGATTATGGACAGAAGCTTTCTTGGGACATCCAGTTGCACTCTGAGCCTTGGCTTATCCTTTCGGGTGGGATGCCAGCACTTCTCTCCCAGGTTCCCAGGAGCTAAAGGGCCTAGCAGAACTCAGGGATAACCTTGGCTAACAGGTGGTGCTCCACAGATATCTGCCACCCTGGAACCACACTCACCTCAGAGTTCTTCACCAGGAGCTCCCCAGAAGGCTGCAGGGTGAATTTGCCGTCAGCTTCAGACACCAGCTGGCCGTCCTTTTCCCAAGTGATGGTTGGCTCAGGGTTGCCCTTGGCTGTACAGGGCAGGAGGGCGTGGGAGCCCTCAGTGGTGGACAAATCTGGGAGGCCATTCTCAATCACAGGCGGGACTGTGGGGAGATGGGATGCCCATTTGGGGCTGGGTTAAGCTGTGGTAGGGTGGGCTGTTCTGTGACACTGTGCTTTGTGGTGCCCTCAGTCCCTATTAGCATCTACCCACTGCCCAGCCATAGGTCATTGCCTGTGGTCTGAATGATCAGAGGGTTCTGCTTGTTGATATCATGTCAGGGTGACCCTTTTGCACCTGTGTGTCCAGGTGTGAACACAGATGTGTATGTACACACATACAATGATTTAACAAATGTAGTAGGGGCAGAGACTGTGTAGGTCCCATTAGCACAGGTCCCTGTGTGTGACAACCTCAGAGACCATGTGTTGAGAAGCTTGTACAACTCGTTCCCATAGGGACTAAGCTAGGGGCAGAGTGAAGGTCACAGGTCGGTGTGCTTGGTGTCATTCATCTGGTGACGTGTATCCATGCTCGGCAAGCAGGCTCAGCAGGGTATGGAACCAGGAGCCACTCTGGACTCGTGGCAAAGTCTGACCTTAGCTGCAGAGCCATGGCCATGCAAACATCCTGCCAACAGCCACAGGGCCAGAGAAGCCTGAGCCCCGCTAAAGGCCCTCTACATGGTGAGCAGACATTGGCAGACCGTACTCAAGCTAAGGGAGAGCCACATAGCAGCTTCTGGTCAGGGCCAATAGTTACTATCATCAAGTTTACAAGAAGGAAGGCCAGGCTAGCACCCCAGGAAGGGCTGGAGAAGGCAGAGGGTGAGTGTTTATGCCTGGAGCCCGACTGTGGTCAAGAGGAAAGTAAGGGCTCTCCCTAGTTCCTTCAGCAGTCCTGGGTAGGGAAGAAGTAGGGGTAGGTCAGTCGGGGCCTGAAGACCATGGAGAGAGAGAGAGAGAGAGAGAGAGAGAGAGAGAGAGAGAGAGAGAGTCTCAAAGCCCTGGGCCAAACCATGTCTCCTGCAGGTCCCTTCTGGGCCCACCTTGCACCACCAGCCTGGTCTTTGCCATGGCACTGCCCACACTGTTCTGGGCAATGCAGAAGTAGTTCCCGGCATCCTCTGGGCTGGTGTGCGTGATCCACAGCTGGCCGTTGGTGAGTACCTGTGTACGTGTTCCTGGATTTGGAAGGATAAAATTAAGAATAATTTCTGGGATGTGGGGAGTGGTTCTCAACCTGGGGGTCAGGACCCCTTTGGGGAGGAGGTCACATATCAGATATCCTGAATATCAGTTATTTACATTATGATTCATAACAGTGACAAAAATTACAGTTGCGAAGCAGCAATTAAACAATTTTGTGGTTGGGGGGTCACCACAATATGAAGAACGGTGTTAAGGGGGTCACAGCATTAGGAAGGTTGGGAACCACTGGCCTCGAGGGACCAGATGTGACTGGATGATCTGTCTGATTTGCTGGTGTCATAGAGTGAGGGAGCACACAGGGCACTCCCAGACTTCCCAGAGCGTCTCTGGGCGCTCAGATAGGATTTCAGAAAGGAGGGCAGGAGAGAGGTCACCAGAGCAGGCGGTGGGACTGTGTCTCTGGCCCAAGTTGGGCTATGCGGGACTTCTCCCAGGGGCCTCCTGGGCAGGAAGGAGGACCACCTTGCCCTTCCAGCTGGCCTCTGTGAGGTCTCACCTTCAGGGAGGCTGAGCCCCTCCTTCTGCCAGATAATCGCTGGCTGGGGGATGCCAGAGGCCTCACAGGGCAGCAGCACCTCCTCCGCCGCCACAACCTGAACCACGCTGGGCAGTGGCTTCACCACCGGGGAGGCTGCGGGCACAGAACACAGAGGTTTCTTTCACAAGAGTTCCTCAACCAGGATGTATATCAAGGGGGCCTCTCAAAGAATAGGGGCTCTGTAACCTCAGGCCAGCAAGCGAGGCTGCAGGGAACCCTTTCTTTCCCAAAGATTCCGAACCAGGAATTAATTTCAGGTAACTGGTGTGTGTGTGTGTGTGTGTGTGATGGGGAGGGGTGACTCAGGGCTAAGGTCTCCCCTATACTCCTAGCACCCCCTGCCTCCAGTTCCTCACCTACTCCTTTTACCCAGGGGCCTCAGGTGGCCCAGTTGGAGGGCTTACCTTGCACTGTGAGGACCATGTGCTTGCGGGCCACCCCCGCAGCATTGCGAGCTGTGCAGGTGTAGCGGCCAGCGTGGATAGGAAGGGCCTGCTCAATCTCCAGAGCACCTGTGGGGGGGAGCCAGGCATGGTGGGGGGGAAGGGGACAGGGCTGGGAACAGGAATTCCTAGCGATGGAGGGGGCAGGGTTGTTACCAATACCCGTTCAAACTGTCTCTGCTGCCCCATGGGGAGCAGAGGGCATGCTGACCAGGTTCTAAGCCCACTAGGCTCCCTGCCCAAGATGTGACTCTGACAGCTTCCTCTGCTTTCTGGGCCTCAGTTTCTCAATGTGCCCAATGACAGTCTGACGCTATGGGCTGCATGGCCTCCCATCGGTGGGAGCCCGGGGTCAGCTGTTCCTTGCTGGAAACCCTGGCTTTCTCCATGCACTCCTCCTCTGGCTTCTGAGCCTCCAGGGATTCTCTCTGATCTCCCATCTGCCTCTCACAGCCTCAGGAGCAGTGAGTCCCAGCTCAACCTCATGCAAAGTATTTGAGGGGTGCTGCTTGGGGACCGCTGGGGCCTACTGGGTCGGGGAGGTGAGCAAGGTCACTGGCCTGTAACCCCAGGCTGGAAGCAGGGATCCATTGCACATTGAAAATCGGGGGACACCCCGCCCAATGGTCTTGAAGACTGGGTTTCCTAGCTAACAAGAGCATGCAAGCCCATTTTGACAAGTAAATGCAATTCTTTTTGTTGTTTTGTTTTTTTCAAGACGGGGGTTTCTCTGTGTAGTCCTTGCTGTCCTGGAACTCACTCTGTAGACCAGGCTGGCTTTGAACTCAGAGGTCTGCCTGCCTTTGCCCTTTTGCCTTGCATTTTTTTTTTTTTTGAGACATGGTATCACATAGCCCAGGGTGACTTTGACTTTGAACCTACTCTAGCTAAGGATGAAATTCTAATTTCTAATTCTGACACCATGGGCTGCATGGCCTCCCAGCGGTGGGAGCCCTGGGTTAGCTGTTCCTTGCTGGGAATTCTAATCTTCTTGCCTCCTCCTAAGTACTGGGATTACAGGTGTGGACCACTGAGCGGGCTTTGTGTGGCTCAGTGGATGGAATCCAGGTTTTGGCGCATGCTTAGGAGAGTAGTCTCTTGAGTGAGCTGTGTTCTCAGCACAGCCACGACATTTTACAAATCACCCTGTTAGCCAAACTCCATCAAAAATAGGTACCTTCAAACACCAAAAGGTCAAGAGCATGGTTTTAAAATGAAGGCTGGTGCCCTTGGGTGAAGCTAGCTTTTCCAACACTCTCAGGGGTTTTCTCATGATTTCCCCAGGATCCCGGAGTTCCTCTACTAGGCCTCAGGCAGCAGCACAGTGTACAGGAAAGGGTATTGAGACTCAGAGAGGGTGAGAGTCTTTCCTCAGGCCACACAGCAAAATGAGGGAACCTTTTCTTCTTTGCGGCCCAGGACTCTTCCATGCCTCTGTGCAGCCTCCTCCCTCCTCGGTGGTTTCTCTGCTGCTCGTCCTTACTTACCGGAGGGCAAGACCCGGTAGCCGCTGCCCCTTGCTCCCAGCTGGGTGCCTGCTTTGCTCCAGGACACGGCTGGGGCTGGTGACCCCGTGCTGTGGCACGTGAGGACCACGGGCGCCATCCTGGTCACCGTGAAAGCTGTCTGGTCGTCCGCAATAGTGGGAGGTACTGAAACACAAGAGAAGTCCCTGCTGAGGCGCAGAGGGGACTGGTGGCCACGGGCCTACAGGGCCACGGGGACCACGGGGACCACGGGGTCATGGGATCAGGACTGTCATGAAGGGAGGCTTCATGACACGAGGGGGCACAAGTGATGACAGGGATAGAGGATGAAGGTGTGGGCGTGGCCAAGTCATTCTGGCACACTCAGCAGATATTCTGGGCACATAGATACAGTCATGAATAGCTTTTGGGAGGGACATTGGCCTCGTGACTAGGGATGGTGACTCTGGAGAAGGTGGCACTCAGTTGAAATCTGGAGGAGAAGGAGTTGGCTGGGTGAAGGAAGCATGCTCCTTACAGAGGGAGCAGCATTGCAGGGGTCCTGAGGTGAGGGACAGCATAGCTGGTCCCAGAGTAAGCCACGGGGCAAGCTGAACTGGGTGCATCATCGGGGCTGGACCTCACAGCCTGGTGGGTCCAGCCGAAACTTTAGTCTGCCTGAGAGCAGAGACAGCAAGGAAGGAGTAGGTGGTGACAAGGTCAGAGTTGGGTTGAGACTATTCTAGACTAGGGGACTCTCAGAAACTGTGCCACACCCAAATTACACTAAACTGGTAGGAAGTGAGACCCCGGAGGGCTTCCTGAAGGAGGGTGTTGTGCCCACACTTCCCGTCTCTGCCAGGACTCACCGAGGACGGTCACCTGGTAGCGCCTGCGGGACTCGCCCACCTCGTTGTTCACCACACACTCAAACTGGGCTGAGTCCTGAGGGCCAGGAGCCGCAAGGAGCAGGGCATTGGAAGGCAGGAGCCTGGGGCAGACAAATGGATGGCCGAAGTGAGCAGCCTGGGGTGAGTTAAATTGGTCTCCCTGCCCAGACCTACCCTGCCTCTACCCCTAGACATGACTCATGAGGTATCTTTTGGGGCTGGAGAGATGGCTCAGAGGTTAACAGCACCTCTTCCTCTTCCAGGGGACTCAAGTTCTGTTCCCATCATGCATGTCAAGTGATTGACAACTGCCAATAACTCCAGCTCCAGGGGATCTGAGACCCTCTTCAGCCCCGTGGGTAACTGCACACATTTGGGATCCATATATTCAACACAGCCAACATCATACACATTGGAGAAAAAAAAAATTTCTTCTAGAACTTTCTACTCTTATGAAGTCTCAGCTCTTGGACTTGTGATTTACTTCTGTTCCCATCCATGTTTCTCTGCCTCCTGCATGTTTGGGACCGTGATTCAGATTATGACAACTGATCTCCAATCAGAAGTGATGAGATACACAAAACGCTTCTGATGGTCACTAACCATCGGCTGTGTGTGAGACACGGGCAACACTCGAAGGCTCTCAGAAGCAGCCACAGGGTTCATGTGTGCCCAACAAATAGCCTGCCATTGAGGTTCCCCTAGTACTCTCATGCCCTGTTTTCAATGTGCTGAACGAATCCCTGGTGTTTCTCTGTGGGGGCCATGTGTTCCCGCACCTCATCTCTGGCCAGGTGATCCTATCTGCTCCAGTGGCACCCCGAGGTCTGGGACCCTCCTCACTGACCCTGCCACACTCTGTAGGGTGGGGTCCCCCAACCTCCCATGTCTCGCCATTGTAGACGGACTGTTTGTTACCGGTAGGTGTCTTGCTGCCGGCGGAAGTCCAGCTTCTGCCCATCCTTCCACCAGCTCACCAGGGGCTTGGGAGAACCCCTGGCCTCACAGGGCAGCGAGGCTGGGCTGTGGGCGGTCAGGGTCAGGTTGGAGGGGCCAGGGGCAATGGTCGGGGGCTCTGGGGAGAGGTTGGTTATTAGGAGGCAGGCACAGGATGGGGGACATGGGGGCTTCCTGAGACTGTGCCCAGAGAGGAAGCTCAGACTTGGGACACTCATTGCCAGAGTCAACCCATCCCATGGAGCTGAGGGATAAGGGTGCTCTCCAGAGAGGACTGACATCAGGCCTTTATGCTGGATTGTTTGGACCTTTTGTTTGGTTTGGTTTTTCGTTTTTTGAGGCAGCGTTTTTCTGTGTAGCTTTGGAGCCTGTCCTGGCACTCACTCTGTAGACCAGGCTGGCCTCGAACTCATAGAGATCCGCCAGCCTCTGCCTCCCAAGTTGTGCAATTCAAGGCGTGTGTCACCCACTGCCTGGGGCCTGTTTGGGCCTTTTGAGTCGTCCCTAATTTGGTGCCTTCCTGACACCCCATCCTTGAGGGAGGCTGCCAGGGTTTCTCTCCTCAGCCCTGCCTGAGGACAGAGTCCTGGAAGGCAGCACCTGACTCACTGACTTTGAGTCAGTTCACTTAGCCCCTTTGACATTCTGTGCTTTGCCATTTACCTAAAGAAGGGTGTATAACACATGTGTCCTCTGGGAACATAGGGGGAAACTCCTGGGTTTCATGGATAAAACCTCTTAAGGATCATTGCTTTTGGACCCTGACATCTGGAACAACTCAAAACTTGCAGGACTGGCTCCCAGGAGGACTGGTTCCCAGCAGGACTGGCTCCCAGGAGGACTGGCTCCCAGGAGGACTGGTTCCCAGGAGGACTGGTTCCCAGGAGGACTAGTTCCCAGCAGGACTGGCTCCCAGCAGGACAGGTTACCAGCAGGAGTGGATGCTAAAGGCAGGAAGAATGCCTTTCCCTGTCCACCTACCAAAGACTCTGAGGTCTAGGCCTTGCCGGTCAGAACCAGCAGAGTTGGATGCCAGGCAGAGGTAGTGTCCGGCATCCTGTGCCAGGACTGGATGGATCTTCAGCGAGCCCTCGGGCAGAAACTCTAGCCTGGAACAGAAAGAGGGGTTGCCATGGAGATAAGTACTCGGGGCTCTGAGAGGGGCTGGACCCTTGACTGTCTCCAGCAAGATGCCCTCTACTGCCCCCAGCTCTCCCTACAAAAGGATTAAAATTCAGACCTGCACATGAGAGACCAACACCACCTGGCAGGAGAGAGGTCAAGAGGGCTGCTCCAAGTGGCAGTGTGCTATTTTGAGATTGGCCCCATTGGCCAGGCAGTACCAGGCAGTCCTGCCCGTAGACACAGTAGATTGGATAGTGGATGCCATCATTCAGGCTGGGCCAATGGCATTGCATGCCTTGGGAATTGGGTTTGGTAGTCACAGAGGGCAGGCATGCTCCACAGAGGTGGAGAGAGGGTACCTGCCGTGCTCACAGAGGTAGGAGAGAGTGTGGACAAGGAGAGAGAGAGAAGTGGAGGAGAGGACACCATATTTAGAGAGAAACAGATTAATAAAGTCAATGGCGTGCCTGTCCTTGTGATCCGACAGCCACCCTCATCCTGTGTGAAGTCACTTTTCTGCTCCAACTGCCCAGGAGATTTTCTTTTTGTGACTGGCAAAGAAGACCCTAAACCCAAGATTCTCCTGAAGCCCTCCCCTTCTGGCTCCCACCTGGGGTTCCCAGGATCCAGAAGGACCCCATCCTTCCGCCAGCTCATGAGGGGCGTGGGCATGCCTTGGGCCTGGCAGGGCAGCAGGGCCGTGCGGTTCACTGAGATGTCCACTGTCGTCGGTCCTGGCTGGATGGTGGGTGCCGCTGGGAAAGAGCAGAGGGCAGGGCTGGGAGCCTGTGGCTCTGAGGGGATGGGGGGTAGGGAGGAGGACACTCACTGTGGATCTCCACGTGGAAAGCCACGCTGGTGCTGCCTGCGGTGTTGCGGGCCGTGCAGCTGTAGTCTCCACCGTCGGCCGTGCTCAGCGCCTGCAGCTTGAGGAACCTGCCCTGCTCTGGGAACTGTGTATGGGCATCTTCCTGCAGAGCCCACCAGAGTGGGGGGGGGGAGATCTTTATTGGCACTTGGCTATGACCTTGGTCTCACAGATTCAGAACTGAGTCCTGAGTTGCATCCTCTGGCTGGGAAAGTCAGGGGGCAGAAGGGAAGAAGGATCTAGCCCCTCTCTGAGTTCCACCTGCAGGTCTGTACCACGATCCCTCCCTTAGCTTCTGAATGATGGTTCCGGATGGATCAAACCAGTCTTGGTGCAAATAAGCACTAGGCTAGGAGGTCTGAGGAACCTATGAGACTTGGCAGCAAGGGTCTCGACTCCATCTTAGGCTAGCAACAGACCTGCAGCAGATGGTTACTCTGCGGAGAGCTCCTGCAACCTGGAGGGGCCGAGTACTGCCATCAGCCCACCCAAAGGCCTGCAAACCCACAGTCCCCAGCTACAAACTGGACCTTTGGGAAGGGTGGGCATAGACAGCTTGTCATAGATTTGGGTCACAAACTCCTCAGTGTAACCCGAAGGTACCATGGAAAGAACACCAGGCACGACTCTGGTCTTGCTGTAGACACTATACGGAGTGACACTATTCATCAAGGTAGACGATGTGCCCACAGTAGACATGAAAAGTGATGTCCAGGGCAGACCCTCAGCGCCCTCAGAGGCCCCAGAGATGGAGATGAAGGGGCCCACCTGAAGCAGGATGCCACCTCGATGCCATTCAATCTCTGGTGCTGGCTCCGCCTCCACGGAGCACTCCAGGATCAGCTGCCCTGGAGCCAAGCCAACCACAGAGCGGGGACCCCGGGGCCCAACAACATTTGGAGGGGCTAGGGGAATAAGAGAATATGATAGATGGACCCACCCACTCAGGCCCCAATGTGCCTCTCCTTCCCTGTCCCTATGGCACCTACCTTGAACCCTGACCCGGAAGCTCTTCTCAACTTCGCCTGCAGGGCTCTCAGCCAGGCAGGTGTACAGCCCCGCATTGTTCGCCTGGAAATAGAGCAAGGAGATCAGCTGCTTCTGGTCCCAAGTGTCAGAAGCCTCCCCACCTTCCAGTCAGCTTATCCCTTGCTAGAATTCTCTCTCCATCTTGCTTTTGAGGTGCAACCAGGGCAGGCCTGCAACTTCTGGGAAATCCCTCTTGCCCCCGCAATCTGGTTTCTCTATCATCCTTGGCTCTGGCCTGCCTAGGAGTCCATAGGACATAGGCCAGGGATCATGCCCATAGCCACAAGGCACACAAGAGAGGATGTAGGGCAGGCTTGGTAGCTGCCCACAAAACAGCGGCGGTTTACTCTCCAGTACCAACTCAACCCCAGTGGGCAGGCACCAGTACCTGCACGTTCCTCACGCGGAGCACACGGCCAGCTGGGCTGCCTTTCTCTCCTCTCCTCAGGGCCTGGCCGTCTTTATGCCAAGTGATGTTGGGTGGGGGGATGCCTCGGGCCTCACACGTGAGTTCCAGGTGGGCACCAGGTGTCAGCGACAGCTCGGAAGTCTGGCCAGAGTCCTCAATGTGAGGGGGATCTGCAAGAAGTCCACCTAGGGTCAGACATTTCTCCCTCCCTCACCACCCAGCGGTTCACAGCTGAGAGGCCAAGAAACATCTGCAGACGGCGGGGAGGGCAGGACGCTGGGTGGCCACTTAAACAGAAGCCACACGTCTATGCCCCCAGGACGACAGTCTGTACTTGCACACCAACAAGGACTCGGTACATGGGAGGAGACAGACTGAAGGCAATTGTCTCTACCACGGCCCACTCATGTGCTCCCTCCTGAGGCTGTGTCCCTAGATGCGGTGGTTCTAGCTTTTGCTGTGACACCCAGATTTGGTTGTAAAAAAAAATCTTGGATTAGAGCTGAGGAGGACTGTATTTCTCAGCCACAGTAGCTTGGAAGGCAGGGAGCCTCACTCAGGGGTGACCCCAGGCCTCCAGGGGACTCATGCTCCAGCAACTGAAGCTGCTGAGGAGGGGGTACCCACCCATCACTGTCAGCTGGAAGCTTCTCCTGGCCTCCCCCGCCTCACTCGCTGCCATGCAGGAGTAAGTCCCGGAATCACCAACTGTCACTGCTTCCAGCTTCAGGCCAGGCCCCTGTTCAAGGCTCTGGGGCAACAAGGGCTCCCCATCTTTCATCCATGACACAAGGGGCAGGGGGCTTCCTCGGGCCTCACATGGGAGGACCACTTCAGAGCCTTGGACAGCCATTACATCGTTCTGAAACTCCGCTGGTTCCAGGGTCGGGGGTACTGAGGGAAACAAAAGTGTGGGCAGGGTCCATTTTTAATTCTCAGTAGGCGGCCCTCATTATGGATCTTTGCATCGCGGCTATTGCCTCATGGGTAAGCCCTTTGGAACTGCCATGCTAGGTGAATCCTCCCCACAGCATCCCCCTCCCCTGCCTGATGAGCTGGGGTCCAGAGCCACAGCTCACTGCCATAAGTTATACCCATCAATGATTGGCACACTGGAGTGCCTGCTCACTCTTTGGGGAATAAACAAATGGACAATAGAAGAAATTAGATTAGAATGCCCCATGACTCTATCTGGGCATGCCCCGTGAGCAGTGGCTGGGAATTTCATTCTCTTCCGTCATAGCCAATGGGACCACGTGCCCCACCCTGCCCCATACCGAGTACCAGCACGGTGAAGTTCCTGTCAGCCACACCAGCTGGGCTTGCAGCCACACAGGTAAAGACGCCTGAATCTGCCAGTTGCACCTGAGAAATTCTGAACCCCCTCCCCCAAAGTGGGAGAAGGTAGGAGGGAAGGAGAGGGGTGAGGGGGAAAGAAGTTGAATGAATGGACTACCCTTCCTCTCCTTATCTCTCAAAGGCTAATTCTGAAATGGGAAACCTCTAGCCCGCTCCCACTCCTTTCTAGGCCTCCGAGTGCTTCCCGAGCAAAGCCCCAAATTGCCCTTCCCTGAGTCCCACTCCCACTGCCTTTT